ACGAGACAGTCCCTTGTCAAGTCACCAATGCTAACACAGCAGAAATCAAGCACGATAACGAATAGAATGCAGTTTAAAACTATTCAAGTAGAGCTACGAGGTGATGCAAATGCAATTCTGTCGCCCTGACTACTGGCCATTTTGGAGTTGCGTAGGGCACTGGGACAAGTATCAGATTTAAACTACCGGTAATAGATAAACTGACACCACCGTATAAAAGGACATGTTGAGATTGGATATTTGACCAAGGTTGGTGCTCTAAGGTTGAACAGGGATCAAGTTATGACTCTTGAAACATGGTTAAAGATTCATACAAACTTCTGTAATTTTGTGACAGCGTCGATCCCCCAAATAAACTCTTAATTTTTTTCGTGATTTCTGTGATAGTCCTGAAAATGGGCAAACATAGTGATTTTCGAATTAGTTCCCTCCAGGTAGTAGATGCCTGATGAATTTTACAGTTTAACGGGAAAACTGAAAAATATTTTAAAGAGTTTATATGGGTTTTCCTTTGTCAGGGGGAGGGTGCGGCTACACGTAGGCTACCTTAACTAAGGTATGGGTCGCACTACCTTGTGGTAGAAATCTGTCATCGGTGGACATTGCTAAGTACGACCTGAAGTTTTCAGGTTGGAAAAAAACTTTGAAAATTGGCAAAAACATCAGAAACGCCGTAGTGCTTGTGTGGGGAAGGCAGACTTTGAAAAACTCGAGCTAAACAATATAAGGAATGACAGCGGTAACAGTCAGCGCTTGTCAGTCTTGTCAGTGAAACGTGATCAATTTGAAACACGATCAATCACAAATAAACGTGGTTGAATTATCAGACCTTTGCGCTTTCGTGGACGGACGAGGGAACTACTATCCTTGGCCATTTTAAGGCTTTTACGCATCCGTTGCCTCCACCTGGTTTGGCTTGCGTCACGCAAGACTTAAAGTTGTAGTCCTTCAACCTACAATGGTTTCGAGATTTGGGTGCTTCGTTTTTGAGTTTTGGGTGCTTCGTTTTCGAGTTCTGGGTGCTTCGTTTTCGAGATTTGGGTGCTTCGTTTTCGAGTTTAGGGTGCTTCGTTTTCGAGATTTGGGTGCTTCGTGCTTCGGTCTTCGTTTCGAGTGCTTCGTTTTCGAAACTACCGTTTGTGGTCCCTGTTTTTTTCTTCAAGCATCAATTCTGTGGTCTGGTTTGGGTGGGCGCCACTCCCAGGGTTGTCATGAATACACAGATACCTCCAAGGCTCACTTAATTGCCCTCCCTTCCATTTCACCATGCACCTTCCCCACACCCACCTATTATTATTGTCAATGGGTTTAAATGTGGCTAAATGTAATTTAGGTGAGGCTAAACACGAGACAATGCTGGTCAGCTGTCTCTATTAATAATATATTGTATATGGGGTGGTCTTGGGCTTTAGCATATTTTACAGCACTTTCCCTGAAGTCAATCATTTTGCTCATGTTGCTTTTGCATGCAGTAGCTTTAGCTCAGTTTTTGCTCCCAGCCTTCCCTTCCCTTTTGATGTTTTTTGGTAAGTATAGGAACATTTCTCCACTGAAGGTCTCAGTGTGATGGTGCCTGAAAGGTGCCACTCACAGGGTTGTCTTCTAAATTTGCTTGGGGCTCCCTTCTGTTTCACCAGACACCTTCCCCACACCTACATGTATGTTTTGTCAATCGGTTTACAGTCAAACCAGGTCAAGCGTACCCCCCAAGAATGCATTAATGAATTTATTATTCAAAAGTTGAATCCGTTGCTAGTTGTAGATTTCAGATTGATCTCTGCATTCTTGTATGTGTAATGAGCCGTGAATTCACACGCGAGGCAGTTATGAAATTTCTACCAGCTCCATTTTCCTGAAATTGATGTAGCTTGATGTAAATGTCTTCTAAGAAGCTTAATCCATTCAAAGATTTCCAATCTGACCAAATACAGAGAAGTTCTCGTAAAGTATTCACTGCTCATTACGCATGCAGAAATGCCGCTTTGAATTTGATACCAGTTACGGGAACGACTAACGGATTCATTTTTCAAATAATCAATTCACTGATGGAATCTTATGGGGTACGCTTGACTTGGTTTGACTGTAATTTGCAGATATAATATCACTGTCATTATAACAGCAATCTAAGCAAATGCAAATTAACCTGAAAAAAAAAAAAGGCAGCTAGGGGAGGATAAGAGGGAATTTGAACCCAAGGCCTCTGCATTAGCATGACAAAAAAGCTCTAACAACCGACAATGAAGACCCATACATTGGGAGCAGGAACATCTTTGCAGCAAATATTATTATTAAAATCAAACAAGCAAACAGTCAGAACAATGCCTTAAAATAAAAACTGAGTTAAAAGCAATATACACATCTACAGAGTTTAAAAGAGTCCTGACAATATATACTAGCTAATGCTAACTGCATACAAAGTGAACTCACCTTCTCCTTCATTTTCTATTGCCATTGCCTGAGGATTGGTTTCAGCAAGTTGGTCACGCCGCCACTCAGCTCTGACTTGTTCCGGACCACTCAGAAACTCAGCATCAGTATAAACTTGAACTTGCTGTGCTCCAGGGTTCTTCAAAGGTGCTTGCCATCCATCAGTGCAATTCTTAATGACATTCAGAAAGCGTTTGCTCACATGACTTCTCATGCCAGTTGACTGCTCTTGATTGTTGGTCACTACTTTCGATGCATATGTTGCTAATTTGGCAGACACAACAACATCTCCTAACTTGGATTTTGCAGGGTTCAGGCCACTACATGTGCCTACAGAAATAACTGCTTTGGGTCTTAGCACCGAGGCAGCATTCTTTACAGATACAAGAGCACCACTGGGACCAATACCATTTCTGTAACATCTTAGTAAAGCAACTTTCAACTCCTCTTGACTTTCACCCACATCAGAAAAGTAAACATAGCCAAGATCATCAAACCAACATCTATAGGGGTTTTTTAGCTCACTGAAACAAGCTGAGAACTCACAGTTTGTAACTGTAAGTAACAGAATGTCAACAGGAAGATCAGCATCTTTTGATGGTTTGGTAATTGCCTTAATATCAGCAAAGGATGGAGGAACTTTATTAAGCTCAGGAGGATCCCTAACATTCCTTGTTGCAGTTCTTTCTTTCTTTCCTTTCTTGTTATTCTTTCTTTTTACTGTGGTTCTTTTGTTCTTTGAATTGTTTGAAACATTCTTTGAAGAAGATAGGAGACCACTGGTAAGCTGAGCTGTATTACCATCACTATCCTCTAATGTATTTGTTGAATCCTGTGAAGATTTTATTTTCTTGGATTCTAGTACAAGAAAAAAACAGTAACTAATTGTAAATAAGGACTATAATAATACATTTATGTAATAATCACAGTCAAACCTTGTTTTACAGACACCCCCTTAATACGAACACCTTGTTATTGCAGAAAGTTTCCTTGCCCCTGGCACTTACCTTTTTTTCAAAATTTAAAATTAACTGCTATAAATATAACAGACACCCTTTTAACACAGATCAAATAATTTCTATGAACCCCTCAGTGTCCTTATTAACGGGGTTTGACTGTAAATGTTATTGGTTTACTCATGAACACTTTGCAGGTGCTCATACATTCCATGTTGAATTGGAATTTAAAATTGTTGGGAAAACGGAAGTATCCAGAAAAAAAAACTCTCAGAGCAAAGGGCTGGAAAACCAACAACAAACTCAACCCACATTATGGTAACTTTAGTTCTTGGGCAACTAGCTAGAAAATCACAGTTTTTTCATACAAATCATATACTGGGCACCCTGGATTTTCAAGGCTCAGAGCACTAGGCTCCCTTCAATTTTCCTTAGAGCACAGCCTTGATTAGTATGCATATTTTCTTTCCCAACAGAGGGGTCTGGTCCCAGGCTATGATTGTGTATTTTGTCCTACTGCAGGGGTATATATTTCATGGCGGATATACATAGTATGGACTATATACCATTATTTTATTACAATACGGTAAGAATTAAGTATTGGAATGGTGACCACTAAGAGGGCTAGGGGACAGGTATTCAATATTTTTAGCCTAAACTGGGTGAAATTACCTTTTTCAGCTGAGTCTGCAACCACTTTTAACCTTCTCTTTCTTGTTTGCATGATAGTAAATTGAAATGGCCTATCAGGAGCTGATGAACAAAATCAATTTAGAAAAATATACTACCAAAAAAAACACAAATACAAAAACAAAGCAGCTAATCCAAAGTAAATACACCGTCCTAAACATTGTACGTGTTCCAGCAGTTGATGAAGTTGTGTGAAAGATGACCAGAATCAGTGAAAGGTTCCGGCAATTCAGCTTTTTTACAAAAAGATCAACTCTGCTACTTGAAAAGAGCAGAAAAATTAACTTTCTGCATTTATTTTTCATAGAACAACATGCAAAATTGTTACCTTTTTTGTTAATGCTAGTCGATCAGGTGAAAAGTACCTTTTTAGAAAAAAAAGGCGGGTATTTTAAGCTTTCGGGTGAAAATATTTTAACGTCAATATTGTCTGCTTTTCATCCATTTCTCACTTTACCAAACAAAACTTTAAAGCGCGAAAAAGGTACCTTTTTTTCAGTTTGAAGCGATCTCTTCAAAAGCGCGAAAAAGGTACCTTTTTTTGCTGTTTAGAAACGTTCCTATCAAAAGAGCAAAAAAGGTACCTTTTTTGCGGTTGGAAGCGATGTTCTCATAAGTGCGAAAAAGGAACCTTAAAAATAAATGGCGTTTTCAAACTATATTTGAAAGCCGTTTCAAATCCTACTGATTGACAGATGTCAACCGTTTGGCGCCATTTGTTTTGCTTGAATTGACTGACCCACTAGTGAAGAGACAAATATGGCGGAATATATGGAAAGCAATGTTACTTTAATAAGGAATCTCATTGGAGACAATAAAACGTACAAACATGTCAGTGAAATTGTCAGACAAAACTTTCCAGAAGTAACAAGAGGCTTTTCAGAAAGAAACGTGTGATTGTTTTGTGCTAAATATGGAATAAGATGAATGAACGAATACAAAGTGGATTCCATCATTCAGGATTGCGTGAACGAGGTAAGCTTGTTTTTGTTTTGCATTTTTTGTATTAGTTTGTTTGAAAAGGGACGTTCCATTTTTATTCGTATCTCCCCCTATGGATGAGCAGATTTCTACCACTTCACTTTTTTGTCGGAAAAAAACTTTTCCTACCCCCTCATTTCTGTTGGTCCCTTTGAAAACGGATTCCTACTAGTTGTCTGCCGAGGATACTCATCCATAGAGGAGGGGGATAGGAATAAAAATGGAATGTCCCATACGTTTTCATGTATGAACGATTGTCTGAATAGGTGTCTTTAAACTTTAGGTTGGCCCAACGTACGGACGCAAAATGATGACAGGTTATGTCCGCAGCAAAGGCTTAGGTTTAAGCGGCAATCAAGTTTCAAAATCGCTGAGACGCGTGAATCCAGTGAATCATTCCAGAAGAAGAGAAGATACAGTTCGGAGACAGAATCCAGTTCCATATTATGCACCGTACTTCGGCAACAAATTGCACTGTGATCAGAACGAGAAGCTTGCTATGTACGGATGCACGTTTTCCGCCATGTCTGATGGGTGTAGCTCAAAAATAGTCAAACTGTTTTCTAGGCCAAAGAAAAATGCAGTGATAATATACTCACACTTCAGGTTAGTATTGTTGTAAATATGCAAACAGACTAATCTCCTATCTTTTTTTAATTTTGAGATAGGCTTTACTATATTGCTTGCTTTAGTGACTCTTGTGCAGTATTATTAAAAATGGAGAGTAAAAAAATTCATTATTTCACTAAATAAATGGCATAGGAGCTGTTCAAAAGAGCAGCTGTTCAAAAGAGCAACATATCACACAGAAACAGTTTGCTTAAGCATAAAAAATTCCATATCGTCTTGCGAAACGTCCCTAGCGGCGGGGAGCGACAAGAGGCAGCTCTATTTGCAGGCTAATTCCCACTGCATAAATTTATTGTTTGAATGGTAAAATAGCATTTTGAGCAGATTTAAAGTAATTTTAAAAAGTAACTTGTATTTGGGCAAATTGTCCTCTGTTGTTGTCACAACAGGGACGTCCTTGTCAGAGAGGGTATCTGGGATATGGTAAGAGTGGACCATGGAACGGAATCCTGTCTGATGCTTTTCATCCAAAATCTTCTCAGAAACGAGAGGGGAAATATAAGCTGTGAACCATATATGCAGACGTGCTCTAGGCAGGTGGGTATGACGATAATGATCACGTAAGGGTTCAATGTCCAACTTACACCAAAGCTTAGGTAAACACACATGGGACTTCGGTGAAGTCTAAAAGATTCTATTCTTCCCCAAATGTTTCTTTTGAACCCCCCTCTTAATGTTAGGTATGACTGGGACGAAAGAGTTTGTAGCAGGAGGGGGGGGGGGTAAAAATGAAAACGTTCAAATGCCGAAAATTAGTAAAAAAACATGGACAAATATGTCCTCCTTATCATATTAGTAGTATTAATAAACCTTAGGGGGCTTCTATTATTAATACATGTTGAAACTAACTACAGGGTGTCTCCATGCAATGGCGTTAACAAAATAAAGGGGTGAACACTTTTAGTTCCATTTATTGACTTGCCAATATTATTTTGTATTTACCAAATCAGTGAATAGCAATTTTTGCGCGTTTTGATTGGCTCTCGTAACTCGGAATATAGCTAATTTGGTAAATACTAAAACAACTATCCCTCTCAGGGTTGGTGAACAGCCCTAGATATATACGTAGTAGATATATATAGATAGTAGATATATACTATAGATAGATAGTCGATATATACGTTGACACTTCGCGCCCCGGTATATATATCCACACCACTATATTCACCTCCCCTTCGCGGGATAGTTGTATACTACTTGTCCTTTTCCCAGCATTATTTGTTTTAAGTAATGGTCCAGCTAAGAAGCAGGCAGAAAAACAATAGCCCGCGGCAATAGCGTCAGTTATTTTTCAGGCGCTAATTTCTCTAATCAAATTAAATCTGAATGCCCTGATTGGTCAATACAGCGAAAAGCGCGAAATTTGAATTTTAAAGTTGAATTAAGATAGCTTAAGACTCATTCGAACAACTTTTTATTTCGTCTATTGCTTTGTTATGTTGAAAAATATAACATATCTAAAATTTAAAAGATTTCTATGCGCCAAACCCGAGGAAGTTAAACTGATATGAAATTACACGAAGATGAGCACAGTGTTACATCAATCAGCGACGTTGGGAACAACATTTACGTCGGCTCTCACAAAAGAAATGTCAAAACCATGATCGTAAACAGCAGCAATTCACTCTCACGTGGCGAATCTGGCGAACGCGCCAATGTCGCGCGTTCATATTCGGCCACCATACAGAACAACAACAAGTACACAAAATCAAATCCAAATGTTATCTAAATGTTCTGCTTTTGGAAAAAAAGAGGATGTTGCCCAGATAGAAAAAATTCCTGCATGTTCGGATAATCGGGTTTCAGAAAAAGCTCTCCTACAGTTTATCTGTTTTCAAGGTTTTGATATTACTCTATAAAAATCCTTCTTACAATCTCTCTCGTCCTTGGAAAAAATAAAGGCAAGCTACAGTCGTGCTCGCTAGATCTTCCGTACCAAGAGAAACTCAAACACCAGTGACAGCTATTTATGATACCTAAGCGGCTTCCGTCTCGGTATTCTCCGTCTCAGAACTCAAAGGTACAAAATGCAAACGTGTCACAAATTTCAATTCGCTCATTTTAACTTAAGGTCCACGGCGAACTTCCATTTCGCTTGATGAAGCAGTCTAGAGAGAAAAAAAATCGAATGAAAGATGGGTAAAGATACACGGAATATGGAAGTTTCGAAAAGGGCAAACACATGAATAACACATAATGCGCGCGGAGGTGCGAAAATCTATTGAATTCAGCTTACCTCAAGCTCAAGTGTTCTACATCTTTTCGAGAAATAAATTCATCCTTGTAAAAACAACAAATCTTTCGCTTTCTCCTTTTATGCCCAGCTGTACTCCAATTTCTAGTGCCACAATTATTCTGATCTCCTCCTGATCCGGCCTGACAACGAAAACAACTACGCCGGGCCCAAATTCCCACATGGCGACTCGGCATGTCGAGGACGGCAGCAAACCATGTTTAAGAGCATTTTGACGATCACTCCGATGATAAAATACAGTAAATTTGAGATAAATATTCAATAAAGAAAAAATGCAGATTTTTCACGAAGAAATTGACGAGATTTCTTCGGGTAAAAGACAAATTTCCCAACATCTCAAGTGTCACACTAAGATGGGGTCACAACAAGGTCGCGCGTGTGTTTGCCGTTTTCCGCTCTAACTTTTGATTGGCGCATAGAACAATGCTGAAACTTGGCCGTGAGGTATAAGACAGGGGAACGGGGAAAATAAAGCTAAAAAAAGGTGTTTTTGTCACGTTTCTGACTGTTTTTTTGGCGATTTTTGGATTTCGGCCAATCAGAACGCTTGATTTAATTGAAATTAATGATTAAAAGTTAGCACCTTTTAATCACTTTTGCCGTTCGCCTGCCTACCTCTTACACGGACCATTACTTAAATACAATTCGGTTTTAAGAGTTCTTTACTAGATAATATATACTGACACGAATAATAAACATTATTATTAATTCTCTTTATTTACCCGGGACTGTTCGTCTAATCACGCTTGTGATTAGCATGAGCCCTTTATCAAAAATGCAAAAAAGCCATTAACAATTCATAGAGAAAAACAATTAAGGAAAATAAAATTAAAGTAACGTGTTAAAACGAGTGTCTTTATAACTTAAATAGACACGGCTAAATTTTACTGTCAATTTTCTTGGCCAAAATAACCCAAAATCTTTATATTTGTGTAAGAATGAACAGACCTACATTAAAGTTATATTTTGGCCCGTTCAATAAAAGCACTCCATTTGTTTATTAATAATTAAACTGTACTTATCCACCGGACTTAGGACAGTCTCAATTAGAGAAACGTGTTAAATGACTAGTAATTATTTATAAATAGTGGTGTATTTTTTTTTTTTTCGTACAGAATTTGCCTGCAGAGCGCAAGTGGCCAGAGGTAAATCAACATGTCGTATACCCAATAAAAGAAACTCTCGTGCGAATGGAAAATGGCTTATTGATACACATGCATGATCCAGTTGTTCAATTCTGTGTTTCCTTTATAACTATGAATGTAGCTGAGGTTGAACTGAAGAGAGTCATAGGATCATGGAATTCTGGTCGCATTCTGGTTGTGTGGTTGCGCAGAATGTACTAGCACAGCTCGCATTTGTTTTTCTGACTCCAACTCATAAACTGATAAAGTACAATTACTATAATATCACTACTTTGTTATACTTCCTAGGAAAGGACAATCGAATCCCAGATGTAGTCGCAGGAGCAACAAAGAGAATTCGTCCATTAACCCCTACAATTGTGCCAAGTGTTCAAGATGCCATACAGATGTATACCAGTGCTGGTGGAGTCTTAACATCTGAATGTTCTTTTGGCAACGACCCCTTGGCTGATGATGGGGCACTAAGAAGCAGGCATGACACAGAGTTTGTACAGAATAACCCATCATTCTCCCAGATTTTTGAAAATGTTATCATTGGGAATGGTGCCCTTATGGAGACCGCTATCCTGTCATTTATTAACATCACAAGATATTTATCTCCATGATCATGCTCACCCCTGCAGCCATTCTGCGATTTGAAAGGACCGACAGCTATAAGGGAATGATATAGCAGTTTATGGCCAACATATGGCAGGCTTACACCGTTTTTAACTGAAATCACAATCAGGTTGTGCAAAAGGAGCCCGTTTGACAAGTTGAACTATGAGGGACCTTACTTTAGACGCATGTTGTAGAAGTTCCCCCAACCTACGTGATTTTTTTGGACCCATGAATTCAGGGTGTCCAGTGGCATGGTTGTTCAAAAAAATAGGAAAATAGGAAACTCAGGATTGAGAAAATAGGAAAAATAGGAAACTTTGTACTCAAAAATAGGAGAAAAATAGGAAAATCAATAGTAGTTTTGTCGACAAAGATAGCCTCCCTGCATCCCATCAGGGCTATAATAAAGGCTACGAATCCTCAGCTTCTATGTTTGCAGGATTTAGATCAACTTTCGCAGCTTAGAAGGAGTGAAAATGATCAGTGATGTTTAGTTTATTGGCTCAGTTACCCTGTAATCAGAATGGTATGCTTGACTACAGGTCGAGCATAGTTCTACAATCAAAGGTGATCACATGCAAATTCCCTTCAAGTTGGCAGCAAATCTTTGAAAAGCTTTGAAGAGTGAAATTTTTTACGATTGCATTGTCATTGAAGGATATCGAACCAGGACTATTGGTAGCTGGTTGAGAATATGCTTGTTTGAGTCAAAAGACAGCATAGTTTTAAGTACAGAATCAGGCTTTCCACAGTGTTTGAAAATAACACTGATCTATTTGGTACTAGATTGTAAGTGTGTCATGGTTAAGTTCTAATAAGAAGGTAACACTCTGCTTAGCTATGACTGCAAGACCAGTTTCGCAACCAAAATATTGGATCCTTTGTCAGTTGCTTAGGTATAGCTGTCAACAAGGGCTCACCGAGAGAGCTAAGTGCCGTAACCTAAACTTGAGTCTGTTCTTTTCATGAAGCATGTAGAATCAAGCTAGTGATTGTTTTTGTAAACAAGAAGCTGATTGGATGATTTTTCTGCCCTGTGTTGTGAGAGGACAACTTGATCCTGTTTCAAAGATGAACGCAAAAGCAAGCAAGACTTCAAAATAAAATATAATATGTACAGATACTGAAATGCAGTTTTGGTGGGCTATGCACAATATTATCCAATGGTCATGAGAACTATAACACTACATACAATACAATCCCCCATGTAGGTACACAAGAAAATTATACACAAAGTAAAAATATAACAAAGTTGTTAACAGAACTCTAATAGGCAATAGAGGTCATGGAAAGAACAAATGTAACTATTGTTTTTGCTAATATTAGAGCATCAGAGTCAACATACTACTTGTTTTATGATAAATCTCACTCTAAGGACACATACATCTAAACATCCCAGTTTCAATTTTGTTACAAATTTTGGCTTCACCAGCTCAAAAATAGGAAAAATAGGAGGTTTTTGTTAAAAAACAGGAGAAAATAGGAATAGGCTCAAAAAATAGGAAAAAATAGGAAAAAATAGGAACTGGACACCCTGTTGCACTTCAACATGGGAATTAAGCACCATAATTGATGGATCCTGAATCATTGATGACGTTGTGTGATAGCCTCCCCGCAGACGTCCTTTGGGGTTCGTTTGTCACGCATTCATTTCTCTCCCACGGACGTCTGCTAAACACAGCTGACATTTACATTCACCAATCACAGGCCGTTTACGGATTTTTGTAAAACGTAACGCGAGCCACTTCTTAAGATTCGCACGATCAGTGAGGCTTTTGATCGAGTGTGCGAGAAATTTGTAATTAATACAGAGATGAACAAGTATCAGAGAGAAGTTATCCTGCAAATTTTATAACGAAGACCGAATTGTGTTCATAAATTTACCGACGGGATTTGGCAAATCCCTTATCTATCAAGCTTTGCTGCTTGTTTGCGACAGAGTGCATGGAACTACTGGACATTATTGTTGTTGTTGTTTCTCCCCTGGTAAATCTTGAAAGATCAATCTACAAAGCTGGAAAATATTGGTATTCCTGCTGTAACGCTCAGTGATATTAGCAAAGAGAATATGAGGGTTGTCGAGAGAGGGGCTTTCTCTGTTGTTTATGGAAGCCCAGAAGCTTGGTTGAAGATTGATCGGTGGAGGAAATGTTAGCGAGTGACTTGTACAGTTAGTATGTGGTCCTTGGTCGGCAACTTTCCCGAGCATGATTAAATACTTCGTCGAGAAATAAAATACAATGAACAATGAAAGGTTCAATGATTTATTGATTATAAGCATTCCTTCTTTCTTTGAAGGAGCGAGATTAAAGTTTGTTGACAGGTAGGTTAATTTGTCGTTCTAGGTTGAATTTTGGACTTTGGCGGCACCGTGGTCATGTTTACTTAGCTTGTGAATAAATAACCGCAACGGGAAGACATGCCTTTTTGCAGAACAAGTTTTCAGATAAACCTTTTACTGCCGTTGGAAGCACATTGCTGTAGACTTAGAATTTTTTGTTTTACCGACTCTTGAAAAAATATAACCAAATTTCGCGTACTGGTCCTTGGTCCGCGACCCATGACCTTGGTAGAATTACATTTCGCAAAAAATGAAACGGCCTTTGTTTTCGAAGAATGCTTTGAATATCTTCCCTATAAACGTTTACAAGTTCTCTTTTCTTAATACTTCGAATATATACAGAGTTAATAGTAATTATTGTTTTCGACCGCGCTAAAAACCGCTCCGCGCTCGTGTGGGAGACTGTTGTCTGAAGTCTTTCAAAGAAAAGCAGATTATTTTATAGTCACAACTTCCGAAAAACTATACATCTGACTGCAGCTTTATTGCATCGTTTCTGTGATTTTTTCAAAACGTTTGAGTCGTCTCAGGTAGAAGATAGCGGTGCAAATAAATAATTCACTTGAGAATGCAAAGACACATCAATGTCCAGAGCACGTTTGATGAGCCTTGCAATGTCGACTGCGCTTTTTCTAAACACACGAACTTGGTCCTTTCCTAAATTATAGCTGCAAAGAAAACAAAAAAATCCGCTTCGTATAACTTTCTTCGGAGTCTCATCCATGCATAGGTATGGAATAAATATTCCTCTAAAAAAGCGAGAAATAATTCGTAGGGTACCGTTTCACTTATATCACGGCCCGTGATTAGCTGATCGTGACACAATAACTAACCGCTTATTGGCTTATTCAAACAATCCAGAACGTAAATGTCGGCTGTGTTTAGCAGACGTCCGTGGGGGAGAAATGAATGCGTGACAAACGAACCCCAAAGGACGTCTGAGCTGCGGGGAGGCTAGTTGTGTGAAAGATGACCAGAGATTTATCTGTCATGAACTGTAATGTGAACATTATTCACCAAAGGCCACACATTTACAGTGATGAGAAACCTTTGTGAATTATAACACATAAATAAATAAATCTGACAAAAGATTGAAATTGTCATAGAACACATACCTGTAAAGTGAATTGTATATTGTTGTCTTCTTCAGATCATGTTGGTAAAGGTTTCTTGACACGTGTAGCAGGATTTCACACATTCGTTGTTTCTCCTGAATTTATCTTTTTTCCCCAGGGAAAACAAAACAAAAGAACGATATAGCTACATGTAAGGAAAACATTATGTATGGAGGCATTTGGAACGCGTATTTTATGCGCCGATCAATGCAAGAGTAGGTATAAGTACAGTTCGCTCACCTGCACAAGTACTTGCATCGAGGCTGCTTTAGATGAACCGGAAAGAATGCCAAAAAATTGAAAAGGACAACGTTTCAGCAGAGCGCAGCCAATCTAAATTTCTTCCCCTACAGGTTACATAATGAAACACTAGATAAGAAAATAAATTCAACCCATGATTGTCAGGATTATTACAACTCTTTGGGAGTCGAAATTTCACCACTTCCGCATTACTTCGAATTTACTCAAAGCGCATGGCAGTAATTAATCAGCCGCTGTGCCAGCCTAGTCCCCAGGCGCTCTCGGCTCGGTCAATCCTGGGGTGCTTTCCATTACAGCAAGGAGCCCAAAAGTGTGACCTCATTTAATTAATTCACATTCTTTCATGCAGACATTAACCAATCAGAAGTCGAGGACAGTTTCCAGCTGGCTTCTGATTGGATTAAATCTGCATAAAACTGTGAATGTGAATACATTAAAAGCGATCACACTTTTTGGTTCCTTGCTGTAACACAGACCAACAGGGTGGAGATCTTGTTCACAAAAACAAAACTACAAAATTTACCTGTTTAACGAGGTGGGAGAACGACCCACTACAAAGTGTATCCATGAAATCAGCTGAACAGACTAAAGAGAGTAGAAAAATTGCATCACCTCAAATCACAGCCCATGTTTTATGAAGCTTCCCAAACGTACGTAATGGCGCGAACCATTTGATTATGTAAATGGTAAGTACCACTGGACTCTACCGTGAGCTGTAACGTCACCGAGAGAGACTCGCCGAGAACAGACTTCAGACTTTGCGCGGAGAACGGGGCAAGAGAGAACACCTAGGGACTAGGCTGGCGATAATGATAACTTCATGACATGACCCTTACCAACTAAAAAGGCCTTTGCCTTGAAACTATCCCCAGTCCCTTCGCGTAAATGATCATGTCGCCCCTTTGTGGTCTTTTTTCACTTTATTGGAAAGTAATTTTCCAACAAAGAAAGAGAGAAAATGGCAGAAGTTTTTATACGTTTACGGGGAAAATAGAGAGATTAGAGACCTTAAGATTGAGGTTTTTCGACATTTCCCGCGAACCGCGAACGTCAAGAAGTCACGTGACAAGGGCCTTTCCGTCAGGTTTGCGGTTCAAGGTTCACGTTTGTACGCCTAGACCACGTTCCAGAGGTAAGTGATTTACCGCAAGGTTTTTTGCACCCTAAAACATCAAAATCCCAGCATCGCGTTTACGGCAAACGGCAAAAATGAGATTCAAGTTAAGAAATGTTTAAAATGAGAAATAAGCAGATAAAAACAGCTTAAAACAATTGTTATGGATAGAAT